GTGGGACTAGGAAACCCATCAAAAACCGTTGAGCCCATATGAAATCCTTTGGAGTACAAACTGCATTAAAATGTGAGGGCAATTAAGTTTATCAAACCCAGACCAAAGCTGTGAGAAGTGAGCACCCTAACCAAGTGCCGCCCCGGCTCATTTGACTACCATTTTGTAGAAGCAGCTGAGAACTGAAAACCTAATTCGTACCTACCTTATGAGTACCATCCGTTCGAGGGGCCTTGGTTCCTTCTGCGTAAAGGATATGGGCGTACTGCCATAGGGAATAATGGGATGATTAGATGCTTGGACGTATTTTTACGCGATTTGGGGTCCTGTAATCCGGTAATCCCCACGCAGCGCCACTGTACTCCTCGATGACGGCGCCCTCGTACTCCTCGATGGCGGCGCTTTCGTACTCCTCGAAAGCGGCGCCCTCGTACTCCTCGATGGCGGGGCCCTCGTACTCCTCGATGGTGGCGCTTTCGTACTCCTCGAAAGCGGCGCCCTCGTACTCCTCGATGGCGGCGCCCTCCTACTCCCCCATGGCGGCGCCCTATCCAGCGACCGTTTACCCGCTTGGAAGTGCGTCGCCCATTTTTTCGCGATTTGGGGTCCGTTGATCTCTTCGTTAAACTTAATAAAACATTACCCCCTTCGCCTTCGTCATCGTATTTTTCATCATCGATGCCAGCTTCTGGCTCGTTTTTAAAGAGGTCATCGTCTTCAGCATTCCAATTCAAGTTTCTTTAGATGAGAGAAATACAGTTAATTTACATGTTCAGCTACTAAGAGATCCTAAACAGTTTATAAACTCTTGCAGCTGTCCCATCCTTTTCAACCATTCTACAAACCATCAGTTCATATGAATCCCGAAGACTGTCAGGTTCTACCCACGATGAAAGCAATTGATTAAGCCAGTCACCCAGTTCAAAACGCCACCATTTTATGATGTTGCAGTACTGTGCAAAAGATAATCGAATCCAAATGATGATTGCTAGTTAATCACGATATGTCAACTATATTTGAAGTTTCGGTTGGAATGAAATATCAGCGAAATATCGTAGGACTTCTATAGTTTTAACAGCCGCGATAAATCACCGATATATCCTTTAGCACCTTGCAGACAATCGTTTTCTCTTAGCAATATATCGTTTAAGCCAAATGATATGTCGCTTCAGCTCAACGATATATCGTTTTAGCCTCCCCGATCTATCTATTACAGACCTATCGCTGCCGCCAAACGACGTCTTGTTTACACTGAGCGATGTTTCGCTTCTGGCCCGATAGATATTGCCAAACATTACATCGGTGAGGCAAAATTGCGCTTTTTGCCGAATTTTCCATTAAACTTGCTTTGCCGAAGGTTGATCACAGGCATGAGAAGTCATCTCTCATAGAAGCATAGTTTTGAATTTACGGCAGTTTCGCCACGCGTTCGCTACACCGTGGCACTTTCCCTGCACATATGTGAGTTCACTACAACCAAGTTGATTACCACACAAAGTATGACAAATTACAGGGATGATTTCAACACTTTTGTTTACAGAGAGAACTAATGCAAAATTACAATAATATGGTACTTAGACTCTAGAGCGTAAACAATGTCAGTGGAGCTTTGTTTGGTTAATTATAAGTCTTGCATTCTAGACTTCTAGACTGAAACGTAATCTTAAAGAATAATCGAAATTTACACGAACTTGAATATTACCGACCAAAGTAATGTGAGATTGTATGCGTTTTAAAAAGCGAAAGCTTAATTTAGTCCATAGATAAAATCACCATATTCAGCAAAGGCAGTCCTTACTGTTGTTTTCGAATGGATCGTGGCTCGTGTTAGTGAACTTCCCTGTTGAAAGTATCAAATCGACTTTGTCACTGTCTCTTTGTTGTAATTTAGACAGGTATTCAGTGAAATTAAACGTTGGTATCGAACCGAGTTTACTGATGTAGCGAACACGATGTTCAAGGTAGTATATCAAATTCGAAAGTTGCTAACTCGAAAAGTAGCGAAACCAGCTGTTTACTATAATGAAAAAAAGAAAAGACAGAGCTTGTGAGAAAATTAAGTACTCCGCAATGGAGCGAGCCTTTCTCTTTGTGCGGTTTATGTAGTTGTCTAATTCTCAAAATGACTGTATGGATTGAAGACAAGCGTGAATTTCCCCATTAAAGTGAACAGTAGTACATACACTATTTATTTTTTTCAATCTAAGATCCTAAGTATGGCTAAGTTGTTCATAAAGTTAAACTATTTTAATTCTCCAGTTATCGAATAGCTTCTCAGAACTCCTTTTTTTTTTCATTCCGGTTGAAGTCAAATTCGACCGGGACGAAAGGGTTCTGCTCGTTGAAAAATGTTTAAAATCTTTTTTACCACTACTCTTAGTTGGTGGTGATAAAAGATTCGATCTTTTAGAGTGAGTTTTTCTTTAAAATTAAGTACCTTGAAACATCTTCAAATTCCGGGTCAAAGTCATGCGCAGATTCTTTCGAGACTGCTCTGTTCTTCTCATCTCCATGATCAGTAAAGATAAATGCTAAGGCTATAGCAAATNNNNACCATTTGTTCATTCTGGTGTTAAGGAAAGCTGTTAGAACACAAAATTTTGTTTAATTAGTCAAACTGTCGAAATTTCTTTAACCGTGTGACACAAAAACGGATGCAAGCGTTTAGACTGAATTTTTCTTGAAATGTTTACTGTGATATTGATATGACGTCGAACTGAAACACAATACAGATCTTTTACAGCCGAATCAATATCGTAGAAAATTCTTCAAAAGCGTACAAAACAGAGAAATATTTCAGACCACAAAATGATACTTGATTACATTCTCTATCGAAATAGTTATGTTATTCATTAGATCACTTTCTACCCACATTCATGGCTTCGCTGGTGTACATTTTGATTGGAATATTTGAGAGGTTTTCAGCCATTTAAAAATGCACTGGTTCAAGTTTGTTGCTAACGTCTTCTGTGAGTCAACATTACTAAACCCAAAATATTTTCTGATATTCGGGCTGAGGATGTTGAGCATAAGCGAAACCTTCTTGATATCAATTGCAAACATTGACGTCACAGAGTTGAAAAGATTTGAAAACAATCCAGTATCAAAATGAAAATATAAGAATCGAAAGTAGAAGTGTTTTGCATTCGTCACTTGAAAAAATAACGTGTTTCTTTCAGATTAAAATGGACCTCTAGAGTGAACCTCTGAGCTTTCGCTGACTTTAATTAATGTACTTGCCGTTTAGGGGCTAAACTAGATACTAGGTTTATTGTATTTATTGAAGGAAAGAGTCGAAAAAGGGAACGAAGAGAGATGAGACCCTCCCCTCCCCCCGTCCCACTGTGCATAAGAGTGTGTAAATCAGATTTTACTTACGTTTTTTGAGCCACGTTTGCTTCAAGGTTGTATTCATCAGTATCACAGATAAGTTCAAAAATAAATACAATGAGACTAACACCATGATTAAGTGATTTAAAAACGTGTTTAATTCAGTCCCACAGAAATAAAGGCCAATATCTTCGTCATGTCAGTCTTCGAGTCTGGACGATCTTTATAAATCTGATATAATAAAAGAAATAAAATGGAGGTTTGATACCCAGAAGCACTTTCCTTATTGTAGAGTGTAGGATACCTGTCTCAGTTTATGTGCAAAAATATGGATATCCCATTGGTAAGCTTTCTTATTTAATAGCCCTACTGTATTTATATGTGCAAATAATAAAATGGCAAACAATATATCATACCTAGTGTTTGTGTAACCGTTCATGCATAACTGATAAATTGAGGAAAGCTTGGTGTGAAATTTATAATTTGACTTGTTGCTTGTTAGGGAGATTGCAAGAAAAGCTTTTGACCTGATATAAAATCCTTCGGATCACGTTAGAGAAGCGGGATCAAACTGTATCGAAATCAGACTCACGATAGGATAATCAAACCCAGAAACCTAGACCGGAGTTGTGGTAGATGAGCACCCTCACCAAAGTGCAATCCCTGCTTAAACCAACTTTATAAAAGTTACCTGGAAACAGTCCCTACCTTCCTTATGATTATCAAATGTTCAGTAATTTTCAACCGCGACGGTAATAGCGACGTCTAAACCATGGGCGCACTGCCCGGGGGACTGGACCTGGGAGTCTGAGCCGCGATATTGGATCCGATGATTTCTTCAATACGTTGAAAAAACTATCATTCCCCTCGACATTTTCAGCGTCCTCTTCATCATCGTTGTAAGCTTCTTCTTCTCACTGCATCACGACTATAAAACTGCTGAGCTGAATAACAAAACAAAAAAATAAAGAAGATAAAAACTATATAATAGAACAATGTGCATGTGTTATAGGTCAAATATTGAAAAGTTNGATGAGACCCTCCCCTCCCCCCGTCCCACTGTGCATAAGAGTGTGTAAATCAGATTTTACTTACGTTTTTTGAGCCACGTTTGCTTCAAGGTTGTATTCATCAGTATCACAGATAAGTTCAAAAATAAATACAATGAGACTAACACCATGATTAAGTGATTTAAAAACGTGTTTTATTCAGTCCCACAGAAATAAAGGCCAATATCTTCGTCATGTCAGTCTTCGAGTCTGGACGATCTTTATAAATCTGATATAATAAAAGAAATAAAATGGAGGTTTGATACCCAGAAGCACTTTCCTTATTGTAGAGTGTAGGATACCTGTCTCAGTTTATGTGCAAAAATATGGATATCCCATTGGTAAGCTTTCTTATTTAATAGCCCTACTGTATTTATATGTGCAAATAATAAAATGGCAAACAATATATCATACCTAGTGTTTGTGTAACCGTTCATGCATAACTGATAAATTGAGGAAAGCTTGGTGTGAAATTTATAATTTGACTTGTTGCTTGTTAGGGAGATTGCAAGAAAAGCTTTTGACCTGATATAAAATCCTTCGGATCACGTTAGAGAAGCGGGATCAAACTGTATCGAAATCAGACTCAAGATAGGATAATCAAACCCAGAAACCTAGACCGGAGTTGTGGTAGATGAGCACCCTCGCCAAAGTGCAATCCCTGCTTAAACCAACTTTATAAAAGTTACCTGGAAACAGTCCCTACCTTCCTTATGATTATCAAATGTTCAGTAATTTTCAACCGCGACGGTAATAGCGACGTCTAAACCATGGGCGTACTGCCCGGGGGACTGGACCTGGGAGTCTGAGCCGCGATATTGGATCCGATGATTTCTTCAATACGTTGAAAAAACTATCATTCCCCTCGACATTTTCAGCGTCCTCTTCATCATCGTTGTAAGCTTCTTCTTCTCACTGCATCACGACTATAAAACTGCTGAGCTGAATAACAAAACAAAAAAATAAAGAAGATAAAAACTATATAATAGAACAATGTGCATGTGTTCTAGGTCAAATATTGAAAAGTTACAATTTCATATTTAACTGCAAAAATTTGATAGTAAACTTAGAACTGCAGTTGCTGTAAGAAATGCAAGAAATATGCACATCAAGTAATAAGTTGACGACAACCAACAACTAAAGAAGACGGAAAGAGGAAAGACAAAACTAAAAGAGCCAGAAATAAAGCTAACATCAAATCTTAAAAGCAAGTCAAATCAAAATCAAATCACAGCTCACAATTGAAAATAAAAATAAAAATAAAAAAAGGATGGCGGTAAAACAGACTTAAAAGAAAAGGGAAAGACAAAGAAATTTTTAGAGAAATGTAAACAAATAGTCTATGAAAGGGAAATGCATTTAAAGTGGTTCTATATAGTATTTTACAAGGCTTTGGGTATTACTTATGCATGAATAATTCAGTCTCCCTTGGCAAACTTTTATCTCACAGCACTCGATAGAAGATCAGTAATGAAAGCCTACAGCCTTATACTATATATGGAAGACCCTTTCAGAACCTTAAAAGTTGTTGCTATGGCAACTACTGATAGAAATGCATGGCTTGTTCTTTTTTTACATATCTGACTTCTAGATGGAGTTTCTCGGTTTCTACGTGGTAAATTTTCTTTGTTTTTGGGGGAAACAGAGTTAACATCCAAGGAGTTTCAACTGATAAAGCCACAAGAAAATCTGTACATAATATTCGGAGTAATTCGCAATTTTCGTTTTTGACGCGTATTACATTTATGTATGTATAAAATTCGATGATTTTTTGTAAGAGCTAGAAAAAGAAAAATCCCATCCATGTGCCAATTTTCGAAAAAAATTAGCCGTCTGGAACGCGCCCAATATGCGCCTTTAGATCACTCTAAAACTCTTGTTTTTCGTGACGTCATCAAAATAGAAATTCTTCAAGTTACGGTAATGCGCATGCTCGCGTCGCAAATTTCTTCAGTACGTGCTAGCTGTAAATTAGCCGAGAAATAGACGCTTATTTTTCCCCAACACGGCGAAAAGTATACCTACGGGTGGAAAAACATATGGAAATGCGTGTTAACTTGTAGTTTCCTCCGCTGTTTTGAAGTGTTCAACGATCTTCGTTAAAATACAAGTTGTTTTAGTTACTCGCGGGGCTTTGCAAGTTGTTGAAGATGGAGGCAGAGAGAATACGCCAACAAGCCCTTTTGCTCCGAACTTCTCGAAAACATTTTTGTGATCTCGGTATGAAATGCCACTTCCGGCTATTTTTTCAGCAATTTGTTGCTCGATGGGAAATTTTACGTTTGTTGGATGATAAAGAGTTCCTCGGAACGTCTGCAGGAGTTCATAGCTACGATCAAGGTATTTCATGTCGTTTTCTGCATACTGTGTTGATGACATGTTTTCTATCAACATGTCCTCTGAAACGTTCAAACAGGAGTCAAAGACTATTCTTCTTAAAGATTTAACATCCTCCATTGCATCTTGTGCGGGAAAAGGTTCATGGAAAAGTGTCTGGTAAATGGATTGTTGATTTAATTTAACTGTGGAACCATCCGATGAGACCAGAGAGGGATGTTTACGTTTGACCAAGTTCTTCATCACAGGGAGAGTGTCAGTAAAGAAAACATTACGACAGGAAAGTTTTTCACAAAGTTGATGTCCACCTTGACGTAGAGGGGTTGGAGTATCGAAAACCCGAGAGTTGTGCCCGATTAAAACAATATAAATATTATTATCGCTTTTCACACGCCTGACAGTTTTCTCCAAGAAGGTTAGAAAATTTTATAACGAAGTCTTCTTTAGCTCTGGCTTGATAACAAAGGTAAAGGTGCATTTTATGTCTTTAGAGCATATATTGTATCCTGGGTATCTGATGACTTGGAGTGCATGAGAAGGATGTTTTTTTTTTCCTCCTAATCACCGCCTTACCTCACCCAAACACTTCTAGGTGCTTTAGACCAATAGACACTGCGCCTATCCCTGTCGCTTTTTCATGATATTTTTGAGGAATCAGCTTCGATCATTTGATACCCCCTTGCAGGATTTCCCAATATATTTTTAGACATGCCAGAACATTTGACTAGGAATAATAATTTTGATGCATCATAAATGGCTTTTGGTAAATGTTTATTAAAGATAGCCGTCAGATTTCA